AAGCTCGGGTATTACACGATGAGATTCGGCCCTTTGCACTTCTATGTTAATCTCGTACCCAGATCTCACCGTGTCACTGAACAACCGTCTGGCCATGGAAGAGCTCTTAATGAAATTTGTCCTTTCCCTTCTCCTTTCCGTAAAAGTAGATCGGTCCATAAGTAAAGAAAAAACAAAAACAAAAAAAACCAAGTGCCTTTATCCCTTAAAAAGTTTTAAAGATAAGTAAATCAGGACCGTATTTACACAAATAAACTGCGAATTGACGGATGGGGCCGAAAAATTAGCTTGGATCAACGGAAAAATCTCCCAAAATAAGAAACGAAAACCCCAAAATCTAATGAAAAATTTGTGGTCATCGGGCAGTTAAGAATCTCGCGACTTAAAAGTACTTGAAAAGTGCTCAAAGAAAATTAAACAAACCAAAGCTCTTTTTAACTTTTTTTACCTTCGCCAGAATTTGCGCGCGTAAATGGATAGTTTCTAGAGCTGTGAGGTTGTCATGGTTGCGACGTGTATTGTTTAGTCCGCTGACAATTTGACTTTTCAAACATTATTGGCTTTTGACATGCAAAATTTATAGTTTTATTCTTTCAATTTCTCCACGATTTCAAGAAAAATCTACCGCTGAATTTCCAGGAAGATTCATACTTAATCGAAAATGATTATTCGACACTAATTGCTGCGAAATATTTGCGAAAGGGCTAAGAGAACGACAACATTCCGATGTTTACTTGCGTGCCTGGAGGAAGGCAGACTTTGAAGACAGATGTTCGAAATACTGCTGAAAAATCATTGAAGATAATAATCTTTAATACCATTTACCTGCGTGGATAACATTATCACGATCACACTTTAACTTCGTAATGACTGAAACGATTTTGGAAACGATCTGCGTTAATGGCACAAGGCCACCTTACAAAAGACCAGCATGGGTAATCGGACAAGTTGGAAGCGAAGAAATGCATCGAAGAGCGCAAACTGCAATATCAAGAGAGAGGAAAGGTCGTGCATGGACAGAAAACACAGCCAGGCCAAAGTAAGAATCATCTCTGTTTTGATCCGAATTTTTTAACCGAATTAAAGCATTGTTTACCTTCGAAATCCGTCGAGTTTAGTAACTACTAGTTTCTATAAACACTAATCATGGGGACTGCTGTACGACCGTAACTTGATTATCAGCACTGTGTCATCAAATTATGAATTTTAAATTCTGAATTTTAGGAGCTTCTCGGCTCAAATTTTTCATTTCACATCATGGGCAGCAATTTAGAAAAATTTCCCTAACATGCATGTCTCGTGATTTCTTGCAACTGTTTGTAATCATTGACTGCATAATCAGTGTACACATTGATTATGCAGTTCTGTGGATTTGTCGACAATGTAAACTGATTCGCTTTTTTGAGCCTGTTTTTTTTTTAAGGGATAATTTCAAGATCTTTCAATAAATTTATGATTTCATACCCAAGACGAGCATTGATAAAAATTTTGATTTGTTGCCACTAGTTAAAACTAATAATATTCTTTGTGAAACTAGCTATAATGATTTCTTCAATAAGTTGTCATTAATGTTATAGGAGAAGAATCTTTCTCCAAAACAAGAGAGAAGGAAGATTTCCACCTTTGTTAGTTATTCTACAGTTGTAGATACATGTACCTATAATGATTTACAAGTTATGAACAACTTTGTATCAGTAAAATAATTCAGAATAATTAACAATTTCAATTATTTCCTGTATATTGAGCACTTTGATACACATTAGAGTGGAATCAAATTATTGGTAGATTATATTGATAGAAAATTATAGTGATCTCCAGAAAAAAATGAAATAGGGGCAGGCTGCATGGCCCCCTGAGGTTTACTAAAAACTATCTGCACAACTTAAAACTTGGTCTTCCTCAAATGATTGTGAGTTTTTCATTCTATTCACAACTTAAGATCCACTCCAAGCAGACTTAATGTCACCTTTGACAATTCTCCTCGTGCAAGGTCAGTTAAAAGAACTTTTATCAACATATTTTACACATGTCGGTGCTGTATATACAACCTTTGAAATTGAGATTGGTGGTTCAAAATTGATCACTAGACAGACTTGTGTTTTTATTTTATTATTCTATTATGGTTATGAGGGCACACTGTTCATTGGCTACTTGCCATCTAGGTCATTTGTAATAAGCCAATCAGATTGCAGCATTTGTGATAAGGACCCTGGAGATTTTTACTAAAATGAAGGGGTGTTATTCATTATGAATAAAGGGGTTAAGTTTGTAGCGAAACTGTGGTGCTATATTGGTGGGAGAGTAGCAGGATAATTTATCAACTGAGTTGATAAAGAATTTAAAGGCTGACAAAGGGCTAATGCTTGAAGCATCAGCATTTAGACTCAATATGGTGGCAAATTTACATTTTCAACTCAGTTGATAACACCTAATTAACCTGTTATTCATTACAACAAGTTTTGATTTTACAAATTTCATAGTACTGAAGTGAAAACTTGAAAAAAAAAGGTTCTGTGGTATTGAAGCAATGCATCAATGTCTCTAAATAATTTCCATTAGATGTTCCAGGTGGAGACAAGTGCAAAGTGCACAACATAGGAATTCTCTTGAGGAACCCTTAAATGATGTGAGTATGTAACCTTTTGTACCCTAGAATATGAGTATGCATATTCTCTATACTTTCCTTCATACATTTCTTTTGGTACTGACAAGGAGAATCTGCTCAACAATCAAAGCTTCTTAGGTTGGCAATCTCATCCTTTATTCTTGTGATCTTCATGAATGATTCAGCAATGTTTCTGTATGGTGAAATTATATGCTGATCACTTGCAGGATTTAATAGGGTTAAACCCAAAAAGCTAATGTTTTATTTGTTCTTTTGTAATTCTGCGAAGTTGTCATTTGTTAAGTTTTGTGGTATAATCTCCTTAATCTATTTACTGAAAAAAATATGCATTTTATGAATTATTTCTCTCTTCAATATAGGATAGCATGACAATTACATTAGCACCTGGTTATTTGTTATCCAGAAGTAAAGAAAAGATAAATGTAACAATAACAGACGAATTTTTTTTGAAGGATGGCACCACAAAGGTGAGTTCCGTATCAGTCTACAAACAGAGAAATTGCATACTGCCTACAGTTATTTCCACATAGTTGAATGAATCCAATTTTCTTTAAATGATAATGTGCCATAGTTTTTGGACTCCACTGAAAAAAAAAAAAGATTTATCTTGTATATATTTAATGCCAACTGGACTTTTGCATATGATATTTGGAATGCATTTCAAGTTCAACTGTGGTATTTGTGTGACTACAATAATAATGATAGTAAATGGAGATAAGTCTATATTTAAAAATCTTCTGATTTGGTTCCTTTCTATTATTACCAGGCAAAGACAAGGAAAAAGTAAGTACTCAATATCGATAGCTTTTACAAACTGAAATAATTTTTTTAAACAATAACTTACCCCGTATTTTATACTGTTATATGTCATAATCAGTTTTGATTAGAACGCTCTTGATACTGATTGCTGTTTAATAGTTTTCCTTTTTTTTTGGTTTCTTAGATCACAGCCTCCTGATGAAAAGTAAGTCCAGAATACATTTATCTTGCAGCTGAAGTTGTTTGCACAACGACAAAAGTAATTTCTTCATTTTGAAGAACTTTCATTTCTCCCCCCTCCTCCACCCTCAAGAGTGAATGTAAATGAAGGTTGAAAATTTATTTTGTGATATTAGTATATATTTACATTCAAGGTTTATTTCTTTATTTTGTCAAATCGTACAGGGATATAGTCATTCAACAACTGCACCAACAGATTGATGACTTGACATTGATTTTAGAGGAAGAAAGGTTGAACCACAAAATGAACATGAAGAAGGTTAGGCAACATGTCCATGTTAGAGCAAATCACTTTTTTGAGTTGGAAATTTAATGATTTGTCTCACTGACTAGGAAGAAACTGATTATGATCAGTTAGTTATTTTAATTTAAATCCTATCTTGTTAAGAACCTTTTTTCTTTGTTTATTAAGGAGTGAATTCTTGGGCCCAAAGCTAAATGTGCAATCTTGTTTCATATTTTTGTTACTTACTATAATTGACATCTGAAGTAAATCAGAAGCATTTAAAAATGGAGAAAAATCATTCAGTCATAACTTAATGGACATGACCTCAGTCACAATTCTCCTCACTGTCTGCTGTACAATTCTTATGATGTTACAAGCAGTTCAGAGAATTTGGTATTGGATCAATTAATGATCCCCTGATTGATATTCTTTTATTCTCATCACCTGTCTGTTCGATATTGCATCAATATTGTAAGGATAAATTCTTTCTTGGTCTCCTATGAGAGTTAAAGGTTAAAAACAATTTGCTTATGTATCTCAAACTTCAAATTTATTGAAAAGCACAGTGGAGAAATTTCCCTCAAGGACCTGTTCCTATCTTTTTTTTTTTTTTCTTTTTTTGTAGACGGATGAGAACCATAATCTTCATATTGAACAGATACATGAAGAACACAGAGAGCATATCAAGTAAGTGCAACCTTATCCATGATCATCTTCACTCTGACGTGACCTTCAAAATCCTTCTTTAATTATAAAGAAAGAACTACGTCTCTTTGGTTTTGGTAGCACGATTTGTGGCTCTCCAAATAGGCTTTTTCATTTAAGAGGTAAATTTTCACAGCAATCCCTCAAATCTTAAGACTTTTTCCTAACCTAAGGAAAATTCCTTATTTTTGTTGTTGCAGAGCTATAGAAAATGATCACGATGAAGAAATGGAGAAGTTAAACAATTCTTTAGACCAGAAGGTGACTTTGTTGTTTTTAATAGGAGACTTATTAAACTTTTATAAGCTTTTTCGATGTAACGTCAAGCGCTGTGCAAAATTCTGAAATCTCATTGGCTAACGCGAGTGCGTGATTGCTCAATCATAACCCTTGATAGTGACTTACTCTATTATTTTATTATTAAAATAATTCAAATAGTACGCGCGCTCTGATTGGCCATAAAACCATTTTACATGAGCGTATGTAGACACGGTTTTCGTTCCTCCTTCATTATTTAATTTATAAAAGAAATGTAAAATGGTTTCCGTGTTTACATAGCCTGATGTAAACAATTGGGAGGTTGGGAGAACAATCGATAAGCTGGAAACCACTCCGCTTCGCGTCGTAGTGTAGTACGACTAGATACTAGGTACTAGAACTAAACTAATACTAGTGTATAGATATTTGAGTAATATATTCGTATCTACTCTTACATTTGCAGCTTCGAGAGGAAAAAAGAAGTGCTGAAATTGAGAAAGGTACAGAAAGAATTTCTATCCCGCGTAACATAAAGACAAATTTAGCGAATCTATGAATTTTCCGAAAAACTTAAGAAGCAATTGTATGCACACGCTATAGGTTTACGCTTAATATTCTATTTGGGATACACAAAATGACATAGACATGAAGTTGAAGTAAAGGAAGGAAACGCTTTTATAAAATTGTCCCAACGAGTCCACTTTAAATTCGTTAGATGGGAATGTGCTGATTACGCACTTTAGTGTTCACTCTTTTCCCCCTCAGCTTTGAAGCTTGCTTCAGCCAGGCTAGTTTATAAAAGTAAACGGTGAAACGCTTTTCTCCGCATTTCTGTGACCCGCCGCACTCTGCTGCAACTGAACGAGTAGGAAAACTTTGACTATGTTTTTGAATGATTTTATCCCGAACTTGTATCGACAGCCGGTCTTAAGGGTGAAATGGAGAGTCTTCAAGGAGCGTTTGAAGCTTACAAGGTAGGGACGAGGTAAACTTTAAGTAAGTAAGTAACTTTATTTAACCACATATCGCATATGAGCGAATAGCTCGTTTAAATGCAAATGTGCCATGTGTCTCTTCCACCCATCCCACCCCAGGGGAGGACATCCACCGCACAGTAATCTCGTGCGTGGGAAATTAACGTCTCCTACCCCAACCCTGCAGGAGACTGGGCCTACGGTTTTACGTCCTCGTTAAGTCTTGCTTAAGGACACAACGCCATGCCCAGCCAGGACAAAAAAAATGATACGCGCAGGAAGCAGAAGAATTCTCAAATTGCAAAAACAAGGCAATTGTTACTATTCGCAACTACCCTTAGAAAAATGAAAGGTTTAAAAAAACCCAGTAACAAGTTAAAACAGTTAAAGTAACTTTTCAAGAAAAATCTCTGAAATGCCACTCTCCAATTAAAGCACAAAAATTTATCATAAATTGCACTAATTGTACGCGCCACTTGTTAACGACCTTGTTAACCTGAAAATGTCTGAACCCGCGCGCTGTGTGTGCGCGTCAACCAGATGGGTCGTCTATAAGTAACAGTTAAATAGTGTAACCATTGGCTTAACGCCAATTCAAGAAGGGTGGTTTAAATTCTGACGGGGAGTGGTGTCATGAGAATTAATTGTAAACTGAATTTAAAACAGTTGGCTTGGTTACGAGTACTTTCTGAAGTATGGCACTATCATGATTGCTACACTTTTATACTTGCTTGATTGTTGGGTTTTCAACAGGAGACTGTAGCGACTGAGATGGACTACAAATGGCAGAGAAAATCGGTATGGTATTATTCTATCATCCATAAACAACAAAAATGACATTCGCTTAGTTTATCAATTGCATTTGATACACGTAAATCGAATTATTGTTGTTGTTCAGTAAACCTTGGCTACTCATGTATCTGGTACATTTTAGCCTCACGAGTCAATCTCTCAGAATTTCTTGATAAATTTATTTTACAGAAAGAGCTGCGTCATGAGCATGAAAGGCATCTAGAAGATGAATTGGCTAAGCAGAGTGAGTAATATTTGATTGTGTTTGTGGTATAGTTAACGTTTAGGTTATGTGCTCTCTATGATTTCTACTGCTTAAAAGTTGATGAGGGTGGAGCGCTAATCAAAATGGAAATGGAGAGGGAACAATCGAATAATTTTTGTGTAATTCTACCAGTTCAAGAAAGGCTCGCATTTTTGCCTTATTTTGTTCTACTCACTTAACATATTATAAATCACGAAAAAGACAACGAGTAGTCAGTCAGATTAGAACATTTGCGATAGGACTTAACAGATGCTATTATATATGGTTGTAAGTTTATTAGGTTGTACGGTTGGTTGGTTGTATGGTTGTACTGAACCACAGCTATTTATTATGTTGATTATGACAGGAAGAGAAATGCTTCATGAGAAAAACAAAGAAATTGAAGGGATGAATAAGGAGTTTCAGAGACAAATACAGATTTTGGTTGAAGATCACAAGAAAGAGGTTGATGTGAGTATAGGAACAAATTAATCTGTAATTGTATCAGTTTTTCCTATATTTCCTTAGTGACTAAGTTAGAAAACTTACGCGTATGGGTGTGTTGCTAATAATAATCTTTTTTGCATTATTAAAGCATTTGATGGAGAAGTTTGCAGAGTGTGTGCAGGATTCTGAACAGCTCAAGTCAGCTCTTCTGGAGATGAAGGTGAAAAAATATCTACAACGTATTTATTACTAGAAAGGACGCTGTAAACAGGGATTAGCTTCTTGCAGCTATATATATATGTTTGTGTTTAAATGAATCGTGCTGTCGTGATGAAAGTTTTCCCTGTTAATGTAATGATTCTTTTATGCTCGCATCGCATTGAATGTTAACATGGTTTCTTTCCTCTCAGACCCTTAAACAACAAAAACAAGAGCTTGAAGAGAAAGTGAAAACTAAAACAGAAATTCTTCGTAAGACTCAGATGGAACTTGAAGACAAGGTACTCCTTATACTTTTCAAATAATTTTACTCTTTTAAGTGTAGCTGTGGCAATCAAGCTAAGCATGCAAGCATCAAGCCCTGCGTGACGAGCCCAAATGACAGCCACGTGCACTAATAACGAGGCAAAGTCTATAGCAACGCGAAAAAAAAAAAAACGCGGTCAATTTTAAGTCATGTTGTCACCTCACTCATACTCAATAACGCAAGTTGACTGGTGTTGTGAATGTGCTTCTTTCCACAGAAAGTCAAATTAGTCGCTTTTGAGGAACACTTTGCTGAGAAAGTAAGTCGTTGACTATTCTTCCTCCACCGTCCCGAACATATTTGTTTTCAGGTGACAAATCTGTCCTAGATTGCTATTCTATTTTAATTGCAATGTAGGATTTTTATACGAAAGCATCAAATTTTTGAACGTGAAATGAGGTGGAGTCTTTGTCCTTTAGGTGGAAGAAGTTGACAATAGATATTCAATGAGAATGCAGGGGCTCATGTCAGACAATACAGACTTAAGGTAAGTCTAGGGTTCACTATACTTTATAAATGGCCTCTTTGCAATATTTTCCTCTAAAACTCGAAGAATTAGATTGATCCTGTTACATTCAGTGGTCAATAGACTATCAACTTCAAAGAATCAATTCAATTACATGATATGATAGGCACTCGGTCTATGCTAAGGTAACATGTATATCTCAGAGGGAGAGGGCGGGGGTCACTTCTTTATTAGGCCTACAATGGATGTAATTCAGCGGCGTATTCGCCTGAAAGAGGGCTTAGTTATGCAATATTGTTGTGCGCAAGTCTCTCTGAACCGGACGTTTTCAATAGCATGTGAGGGTCTGCATTGGGTGGCCTACATGTATAGTACAAACTTATTTTTTTTCAAATGGAAATGAGATTATGAACTCCAGTTTTCTATTACATGATGGTTGATGCTCGATTAAACCATCATGCATGAAATCGAGAACGATTAATCAATTATTGTATAAATGAAATTGCCGTTCAAAACACTAAAACGAGATGGCACATGTCTTTTTTATTTGTTTTGGATGACAAACACCCAATGTAAGGCCGTTCTCTTTCCTACTCGGGATAGAAGCGAGTAAAGTTGCCAATCAGATTGCTGCACTTGTGGTAGAACGTTAGTAGATTTGCACAAACTCGAAATAGATAGCAAGTAGCGTAGCTAGTTATATTGCAGTTGTTAAAATGGAATACTAGTAGATATACAACATAACAATAATTCTCTCTGAATATGACAGACGTAACCGGATGAGGTTCATACACAAAATGAGGGTTATAATTTTATTTTCTACATTTTTTCTTTGTTAGCATCAAAATTTTGGATGCGTAATTGTTTACATTTGCTTTTTTTTTTAGGCGACATTACATCAAGAAATGCGAACAGATGTTTAAACTACAGACTGAACAAGATGCAGAACAAGTATGAGTATTATCACAGTGAATTTTGAGAGCTTTACATGATCATTGCAGTGAGAACATAATCAGTTGACAGATATTTCGTTTTGGTTTCACAGGAAAGCTCAATTCGCACAGCCAAGAGTACCTTACAGGTAAAGATGATCGATAGAAATTGAAATTACTCTTTAATCATAGCTATAAATAGACAAGCAACTTAAAAACTAAGCGCACAATCTTCGTGTTTCAATTATCTAACAGAATTCTTAAATATTTATCTTTCTTCTGCTCCTCTTGCAAATTACTGATGCGGTTTTCATTTTTTCGTTACTAGGCCGTTATTTTAGCTCGTACAAGATGTGACGTCAGTTTAACAGCACTAAGAAACGAAATCCCGGATGTTCCAAGTACAGAACGGAGCACGCGCCTTAAGCGACGAATGAGTGTACCGGAAACTAGAGAAGAAGTTGCCTTAGCAGAAAAACTGTCAGCGGTGGTAAATAAGGAAAAAAAACCAACAAAATCAAAAATTCTAACTGATTATTATAAGTCTGAGTCAACAAAACAGAGACCTCACACATCGCACCACGCCACCACGTTGAGCCCCAGGACCCCGATCTCAAGTGCACGTTCTGCAGTTCGAGAAAGTCTGGTGCCGACACCAGTAAACATTTCAAATCAAGGAATACAAAATTTGCGGGCTCAAAGGGAATTTCTCAGTTGAGAAAGTTGTGGAGGATGATGTGTATGATTTTATTTCTTTATTACTCCTGCTTTTTTTGAATGCGATGTGGTGTCATCTGCCACATTTAAATCGGGTGCGTTGTATAGAAAGTCAATGATAATTTGTATAATGATAGCGAAATGAAATTGTAGATAATTTTGATTATCTACAATTTCATTCCACTATCGTCAATGCTACTTTGAAAAGAATTATTGTTTTTTTTTTTCTTTTTTCGATTTTTGGCACTAGTGTCTAGAATTCTAGTGAAAATCACGTGGCAACCATAGTGGAAGTCACCTAACATGGTAGTCACGACGTCGTGCTATGCAACGGAGGCACGCAAGCTTCAATTAGGTCGTCACGGGATGAGTTGTTGCGTGACCACCCTAATGGCGTGACTTACAAAAATTTGACTGATTTGTAGTTACCATCTACAGATAGCGAAAGAAAATGAATTGATAGCTGACTCTTTAGGTCCCATCACAGAATTATCTCAAAAACCTGCTTGTTATGGTTTTTTTAAGGAAAGAATGCAAAACGACGCAGTGAATTTCACAGCATCACCACATTGACATTGAGTGAGAATTATTATCAATTTGAAAAAATATCACAGAGTTAAAACTAAATAAACATCAAACCATGTAAAATAAAACCTGATGTGGTTGTGTTTTTTTCGAACAGAATTATTTCGTTTACGAAAAGATTACAAACCCCCCTTTATATATCATCTGGAATTAATTCATTTCCACTCTTAATCCTTTAACTCCCAAGATCTGATTGTTAATTCTCCCCTCTAAACTAGCTGCCACAAGAGAACTGCTACGAGAATTTGGTGCTAGATCAAGTTAACAACTTCTACTTGATGAGTATGAGTATTCTCATTACCTGTTTGCTAGAACATTTATGGATAGTATAGGGAAAATTATGTCTTGATCACTTCTGGGAGTTGAAGGCTTAATCAAAACTTCGTTCACTCTAACAGTTGATCATTACAAATTAAAATATGCAAGGCTATTGAACATACGTTCGTATCTGATCACACAAAGATCATGAATTGAGTAATTACGGGGCTGTTCCAAATCAGAACGGCTGAGAAGATGGCTGTTTTGCTGAGCAAATGCTAATAAGCTTATTGTGAGAAGCACTTCACAACTTGGAGATCACAAACTTTGACTATAATTTATTACGACTCGACTTCGTTGTTGCTCAAATTCGCCGTCGATTAGTGTTACCGTCATAACATAGTAAAGTAAGCTTGTGGTTAACTTGGATTTTGGAAAACCAAACCAAACATTGCACATAGAGTTAACTCGTGTGTGCGGTTGGTTTAGTTAAAACTAATAAACTCACCTCCATCAGCAGCCTTTCATGGGAGGCTGAGATTTGCCCTCTCTTGCCGCTGTATAACCCTTTCTTTACGAATTCTCTCACAAGTTTTCACGCATTTTATCGCGGGTCATACAAGGCAGTCAGACCATGCTAAACTGATTCAGTAATTATTAGAATTTTGCATACATTGAAGGAAATTTACATCATGCACGTGGAATGGGTAAAGTGTGCCGGTCGAATTTTTTTAAGGAATTTTTATTATAGTTTTCTCGCCTAGGTTTTAAAACAAAGATGCTACAATTTTTCTTGAAATACGGCAGACAAGTTCACGAGATAGGGTACACATCGGTCGAGTTGTTTAGGAGTAAATTAAGTTAATTCAATTCTTAGCGTTTGATACAAGAGGTCACTTTTGACATATTAAAATTCTAACATGGCTCCGAGGCTATGGGGGAATAAAAAAAAAAGGAAATTAACTATTAATCCCTCAACCACGATGTGATTTCCTGTGTGTTATTCCCCCAAGCCTCGCAGCCGAGTTTGAATTTAAATATGTCGAAAATGGCCTATTAAGTGGAAAGACGTAAATTAGTATTCATACTGAACAGTTCGTCAAATATAAGTCACAGGCAAACTTTCCTAATGAAGGAGTTAGTTGAAAAACTCAAAATTTCAAAGCCGCCTCTGCCACGATTACCTGGAATTGTCCCTCTTGTGTGAATATGAAACATTTTGATGACAACTCATGCTTGAAGGTGCGACCATTGTTTTGCCTCTCAAATCTTTTGAGCGCGAATGAAACGCCTACAATTTTATGAAAAATGTGGGCAATTAGTAAGCGAAACTGTCATTACCTAATCAATATTGGATTACTTTCTGTTGGCCTCTTAAAGGCAAAAAAACCTTTTTTATGAGTTCGTTAGCCGCTCCTTTCAAACCCGTAATTTTGGAAAACTGGTGAGTCTCGACCGCGACAAGCAATAAAAAAAGCAATAGCCAGTCCTTTTAGTCAAAAAGAATCTATCTCATATTAGATACCTGTTATTTACAGTGGCAGCCCAAACAGAAATGAGCCGGTACAAAGACATTAATTCCTAACCTCCTTGAACTTCACACACGCACGAGGTCTTGAATGTTCGACAAGAATTACACAAAGTTCGTGTAAAACATTAATTAGTTGTGGCGACTGGCCAATGAAAAAGAAAGCATCGCATACTAAGTTTAGAATCACCT